CTCAAGTTATTTTCATCTTTGGTAAGTTCTGTATACTTTGAATGATTCACTATCCCATTGGTGAACAAATCATTGACACTGCTCGCCAACACACTGTCAACTTCCACGTCTGTGTACTCTATTAATTTATATCTCTTCGTCATATCATCAAATCTGTTTGTGCTACTACTACTAGTACCTGCCTCGCAGTTCTGAGTCTCCAGGCATGTTTCATCATCAAATCTTTCATCATACAGAGTCTGTTCATCAAATTCATGATGCTCCTCACAATATTCATCGTATACACCATACATGTACTGTTTCTCCAAAGTATCCATGTGTCCCACGACGCTGTTAATTTTGGTTTCCTGCCTCTGCACTGTTTCTTGTATATTTTTCATGATAGATAAATATTCATCGCTGTTATGACTAGAATTGGCTTTGTCAGTGTTATCTTGTTTCCCTTTTACTGTTCTTGTTTTCATTTTCTTGGCTTTCACTTCCTCGACACTCTTACATATATCTAACGCGGGTTTTGAAGGGCCCGGTAAATTAAGAGCACTACACGTGTTTTCTGCCGCCATCTTGATTTCAAGTTTGGTGCGCAAATGATTCGTAGCCTACAAATGTGTAACTACGTTACAGATCAATATATGTCGCATAAAAGTTTGCAACTCCATGGCAAAAAAAATGTTTTCAACTCAAGAAACAAACTGCGTTTGTTTTAGACTAATTCTGATAGAAATAGATCGCATCTATTTTCAGGCTGTCTACACTATCCGCATGTCACAAGCTAACTGAGTACGCATGCGCAAGCATATCTCATTTAAGACTGACCGATATTTTTATACGAAATAGAATTGTCTTTTACCCCATGAAAAATCCCTTTTTAAAATAAAAGTACTTATATTTAAAAATACTCACTCTGGTGATGCAGCAACTGCATATAACGGCAACAGAAAGGGGTGTCTTATGTAACCAATGGTCCTTTCCTATTAAACATAAAAAGTGTTACATCACTAAGTAAAATTAAAGTCTTATTTAAGCTCATGCTTCAAAACAAAAAGTAATACAGACAAAGGGTTACATCTGTATTCCACATTACCTTTTTGTCAATTTTCATTTTTATTCTAGCACAGTCAGATATGCAACAAAAACAATAGCTGTTAAGGCTACAATTGGTCAAACATCTATTTAATCTAACAACCTGTTTCAATAATGTGTTGGTGTGTGGGTGTGTTATTGAGTTTACAGTACCTTCACAAACCGAAACTCAGGTTCCTTTTTGGCTTTGTTGCAAACTTCAACAGCAATTTCTTTTTCTCTGTATTTTTTAGAACCTGTAATATAATAAACAACCTTAAGAAATTAAGATGTAACAATTAAGGCAGCAAAGCCGTCAAACAAACAGACACAATAGAATGTTGTTTTGTCAATTCTCTTCCAATAATGCATTTAATGATCCCTAACAGCAATATATACTGAGGGGGAGTATCGGTGTGGGGACGTACCGGTGCGGGGGAGTATCGGGGGGTGGGGGGTGGGGGGGGGTGGCGGGAGTGGGGTTGGAAGACCCATCTTCTTTACTGACCAACATTTTGCATAGCAATAAACAGCTTATTTCAACAGCATTTCTTCACTGTGCTCAGGTAGGACCACCCACCGTAATAACTGTCAGGACTTTATCAGAAATACTCACAACTACTGGGATTTTGCAGGTCATTACTAGGACTTTTAAAAGAAATAATTTGTCTGATGAATTTCCAGTAAGACATATTAGAAAACTGGAAATCATCAGATTTACCATGATCTGTCCCACAGACTTTGATAACTATGGAAAGAAATTCCAGGATTTACAAAGACAACCTTTCTCTTAAAAATGCTAACTCTGAAACTATCAGAAATGATCAGAAACACCAAGACTAAGTAACAATTAAACAACAAGTGTAGACTGGGTCTGTTAATGATTAGGTGACCCGACTGGATATAGATTACATTAAACTTTGTTAAAATGATCTTAATTTTATATTTTATGGAATAAACCTTTTTACCTGACACAAACAAACAAGTGTGCATTAACAGCAATCGGTACTTACCTTTAAAAACTTCTCCAAATCCACCTCTCCCAAGAGAACTTTTGCCACAGTATCTCTTCATCTCTAAGGCAGTCATGTACTCCAGCACTGTCCCACTTTCAGCTTTCTCCAAGAGCGGCATGTACTCCAGCACTGTCCCACTTTCAGCTTCTTCCTTCAAAGGCAATAATAAAAAAAAAACAATGGTCAAGGCACCTAGTTGATGTCAAGTTACAATATAAGGAAAAGAAATAAACTTTATGTCAGAATCTTCCATGAAAACGGACCGAACAATATCTCAATTTCAACAATAATGTTCAATTGCTAACTAAGATTATCAATCCAATGTGACATTTTATTCTCTTTTTTCTCTTAAATTTCATTTCAGCATCATGTTTAAAGAAGCAAAAAAAAAAAAAAAAAAAAAAAAATACATACTACAGGCACAATACACAGTACAATGAAATTATTTCATGAAACCTACAATGCATTTCTCACACAAACCTTCTTTGGTTCTTCAAACCATAAGAGAGAATGTTCAACAGAAAATACACCATTGCAGCCAGAGCACCTTAAGCGAGGAGACTTCCACAGGCATTCCAGCTTATGTTGACTTAATTCTACCCACTCCTTACAATCTGCATGATAGATCTGACAAATGGTACGAAGATTTGGACAGTATAATCTGGCTATCTTCTCCAGCTGATCTTCAATGAATTCTCGCACTGAAATGCACAAACGCTTGAAGTCTGGTGGTTTTAAATCATCTATAACCACCTCAAGACGGATGCTGTGCAATCCTTTCCACACGCTGAAGACACATCTTTCATTAGGATCAGATTTACATGTAAGATGCACACAGTTGGCATGAAGACCATCCTTATATATCTTATAACTTTGAAGACAAGCAGCTATAAGTCTATAAAAGAGATAGATAGGGAAAAATTTCTCCTTCGATTCATAGCAAAGAGAATCTTGAGGAATGGCCCTATTTGCTTCTTCATGAGCCATCTCAGCTAGACATGGGACAAAATATTGGGCAAAACCCCTGTCACTGCATTTGGGACATTTACTGATAATATCAAACTTCTCCATAAGGTGCAAAATTTCCTTCTTTTTTCCATGAAGAGCAGGGCTCATTTCTTTCCATTTTTCATCAACCAAATCTTCATCTAAGATGGCTTTATCATGGAGCTTGTCCCAAAGGGCAAGTGTTTTGCGAGAACGATCCTCATACCTAGGCAATGTTATGAAGGAGCAAAAAGCATCTACAAGCCACTGTGGTTCTAAAATCACAATATCCTTAAGTGCCTCTTCATCAAAATATATCACCTCCCCCAAAGCATGAAGAAATACAAGACATGCCTTTACTTCTTTCTGGTCTGTCATGTGTATGGGTTCCATCCCTGCTATTTGTAAGACTTCATCCAGCTTTAAATACTTTTGCTTAGCTTGTTTGTGCAACTGAGACTCTAATAGCAGCCATTTGCAAGGCCGTTCTTCTTCCCAGTAGGGCTGTTTGCTGGCTATATCCAAAATACTCTCTTTGAGGGCATTCAATTCAGGATCATTTTCATCAGTAGCATTGACCACAAAGTATTTCTTGTTATAAATATGATGGTTGTGGCTGTGCTTGCCTTTAAAATGCGTCCGTACATTACTGCGGAACACCTCAATCTGAAAGGTTAAGTTAACAAATTTCAGTTCAAGAGTTTTATTAATCATAATATGGCTTCATACAGCTTGTCACTCCAGCAGAAAAAAGAACAGAAAGTAAGTTTTAAATCTGAAGTTTTACAATGAACACAGTTGCCTAGTACCTGGTTGCTTAATTGATTGTATAATACCTTTCTGTTGCGCATTTCTGTTAATTGATACACAGTGGCCCAAAAAAAGATAAAACTGATATTCAATGCAGCAAACTGTCAAATGTACAGAAAGGAAGCAGAAATAACTGGTAATACATACCACGGGGCTGATATCCAAACAAAAGGATTGCAGGGACCGATATAATGAATGAGACGGAGTGACTGCCACGTGCGAAAGATGGACAGGAAATTAGCCAACTACTCGCAGAAAACCACTGACCCATGTCCCTGTCAAGACACACGCAACCACAAACCTTTCACGTAAATGAAAATGATTGGACGGTGACCGCAATTAGGCGGTATACGCGGGGAAAGTCCATTCTTTGATATCACCCCATGCGCGGTGATATCAGCGTGTTCTATTCAAAGTTAGGGGGTTTGGGTGGGGAATACGCACGATTTCCCTTTGTATGTATGACAAATAATGCACTGTTACCCCCTCGCCCGATATCCACGATAGCATGCCTCGCTGACGCTCGGCCTGCTATCGTGATATCGGGCTCGTGGACAGTGCATTATTTACTACTTGTTCCACCAGAAAGATTAACCTAGCTCATTATTGTAGCAAGATTATAACCTCATTCAAGTTTAAAAGTAACTATGGATGTGTCTTTTTAAGTTGTGGAGAAAAAGGGTCTGGCAAATATGGGAAGTTCAGTTCATGGTTAAAAGTAGGTCCAAAGTCAAAATCTAGGTCACAGAAACATGGCAAATGTGTTACTCAATTGCTATTCAAGTTCAATAGTAACTGCATGTTTGGGCATATCTCTGCCAGTTTTAGAGATATAAGGGTTGGAAAATTTACAGAGTGGAATTCATAGTGAAAATTAGATCACAGGTCAAATTGAAGGTCACAGGAAGATTGTCAACATATGACTTCCTATTTAAGTTCAGTAGTAACTATATGGGGGTATCACTTCTAATTTTGGAGTGCTTCACATTTTATTTTCACCATTAAACATTGTGATGTTGTACTTTTTGATAAAGTGCAAGCCTTGACTCTACAAAAAAGAAAAAAGGAGACCTGCTATAAAATGCAACAACCATTAATGAGTCTCTAGCATTTACAGTTCCAAAATTAGAGAGAGTTTTCAGTTTTGGCATCTGATGGCTCCTTCTCCTGTGAAAATGCACCTGCTGACCCCAACCTCATAGAGGATGAAAGCTGAAAGAAACTCTAAGAGAAACTTCACATTATAATATGAAAGGTACATTGTAAGGCCTGTGTAGTTTTTGAAAATCAGGACAAACAAATAGCTTTTAAAAAATTGGCCTGTTTGATCTTGAAATACAGGTCAAATACAAGGACAATATTTGAAATCTCCACATGACTTCTGGTCAGACTTCCATAGTAACTTTCCTCATAATTTCTTCCCTTTAGGAGATATTTAGCATCAATTTTTTTAAATTTTGACAATTAAGGCGATGCCTACACTGTAGACCACTGAATCCAAAGAGCCCAAAATGTAAAGGGATCAAGTTGAGATTATATGCGACCTAATTTCAGGCCCTTGAAGTTTAGGAGAAGTTGTAACAGTGACTTGGATCCACTGAGCCAGCATCTACCATTGTGGTACAATAAAAGTACTAGTGCACAAAGCAATGTGCCAATTTTGATGCAATATTATTAAGGGTGCTTAACTTTAGTTAAGACTACAGTGTTTCAAATTACCCAAAATGCACACATAAGTCTGGTGGAATCTTTGTATTCAGTGACAGCCAGATCACCATCTCAGTCCTTTAGTAGAGGCCTGACACCCGCAAGTGATTCTAGACAATGTATACCTTAAAAAGAAGTACTGTTTATGGATGCTGACATCATGCTATTTTACGTACATTACCAGTATGGTAATTAGGAATTTATCATGTCAAAATGAAAGCAATCTTCATAGTCAATTTTACACGAATGAACAGATCTGAAATCAAGATGGCTGCCATACTGGATGTGTGACGATGCGGAATAGCATACCATGCCATCTCCCTCTCTTGATGAACCTCAACCATAAAAAGATAATTGTAACATGCAGCCATTTTCCTTGAATCCCCCTGAACAGATGGACACACACACACATACCAATGCAAAACAGTATACAGTTTACCCCAACTAGTTGGCAGATCGAAGTATAGGGTAATGTGCCAAGCATTTCGACCGGCCCAGTCAATCTTACCAAAAAAATTATTTTATAAAATTAATTTTTCTGGGCTCAAACATTTAGTCCATACATCAAAATCATGCGACAGAATTTTTTTCTTGTTCCGATTGTTCGACCACATCGTCGGCAAGACTCGCTAAATTTTCAAGCTAGTGAAATAGATGCTGCATGTCTCGGCCCTTTGTCAATTGTTGTCCTTTACTACAGTCGACTGAAAGATCAGTGAGATCGACCGCCTAGACTTCTTAATTGGCGCCAAATACCACGCGCTGTCAAAATCTGACGAACGCGTGTAGCTATGACGTCTTCCTTATTAGAAAAAAAACCAGTAACTTCGGAGCTTCACAGAGAGTTCCACTGGGTATTTACGTTACTTGTGAGTCGCTTTTTATTTCCCCAGATGCATGAAACGTTGACATTTTTTTTTTTTTTTTACTTATTATTCATTTATGAATTCATCATCAAAATTATTTTTATTTTGGAGAGGGGTATCTTTGAAAATAAAGGAAAAAAAAATGAAGTGCAGGGCATGCTAACTGGAGGAGAAAGCAGGAATGGCTCACCTCACTGTCCTCCTCCTCCTCGCTCTCTCCGCCTGATTCCACATCTCTCTTCATGGCTTCAGCACTTTTGGCTGTATTCTTAGCATTCAGTGCCGCAATGGAGTCATCCAGGCTTGGACGAGGTCCTGGGGTGTCACCATTAACGTTCTTCCTCTGCTGGGTTATTGGCTGGCTATTTTTAATGACAGGGGGGGGGGTTTGCTCGTCCTGAAGGCTAGAAAAACAAAATATTGCTATTCAAATTGCCATTCAAGTTCTTAAGAAAACCACTGGAAAATTGGCAAAAATAATTAAACAGTGCTCATTTTCTTCAAATCATTTAAAGCATTTAGAATAGTTTCAAATACTCGCAGCAAATCTTGCCAAAATAAATAAATTAATTAATTAATTAATTAATTAATTAAGAATCAATAATAAATCAAAAAATCTTAAAATGATCAAAACCATAACTGATACTCAATACGCACCTTAGCCCATTCCTCGCACCCCCCAGTCTGAATGGAGAAGTCTGCTCTAGGTCCCCCTCTATCTGAGAGGAAGAACGACTCGGTGGACTTGATCCATTCCTGTTGTTCTTGATGACCAGCTTCTTCACGCTGCGCCTAGGTACAAATGTGTCATTGCCAAACGTGCAATCTTCCTCCTCCAGTCCATCAAACAGCTGAGCCTGAAATAATAATAATAATAATAATAATAATAATAATAATAATAATAATAATAATAATACATACATACATACATACATACATACATAGTTCTTTGTCCAACTGAAATGAGTACTGGGTATATTGCTTTTGATATTAAATTTCTTTAAGGCCTGCAAAATCAAAGCCATAATTAAGTTTGAGTTATGAACAAAAATCTTCAAATTCAAATACTTTTCATGCTTTTTTAATGCACTAGTTTAATGCATTAAAATGTATTGAAGTGTATCTTCCCCTGGAGATTCAACGTATATTATATAAAATCTTTCTGTCGTCCCAAGTCAAGAGCATGTGTACTCTACCAGCTAGACCTACAGGTATAATATTTTTTAATGCATTCTATATCTATTGTTGGACTTAAAGAGTCCATTTCAACCACTTCTCTTTCTGGAGAAAGCAACACAATACAGTGTGATCACAGTAATAAATCTAGAAGGTAAAAACTATATTTCCAACTGAATAACTAAATGTTTTCATAAACCAAGCCCTACCTTTCCGTTGACCAAAGAATGCAGTGGTTTGGGTTTGATCTTTGCTGAAGGTCTGGAGCTAACTTTGTACTGTGAAGAGGTGTTCAGAGCTGCCTTCTGGGCCAGGGGGTTGGTCGGCTTCATATCTTCCCTCTTTGAAGGATCCTGAGGGGAAAATTTCAAAGTATAAGCATTACTTTAAAGTTTATCTTGATGCAGAGCTCACTGTCAACATTTTTCATTTAAATCTAAAATTATGCATAGATATAAATAATACTTAATTACAGAAATGTTAAACAAAATTCACACTGAAAAAATTTTCTCACCACAAAATTCTTAATATTGTACTCATTGTGGAGGAGCATAAAGCAATTACCAAGAAAACACATCCAGGGATTTGGTACAGCATATTACTATGTACAAATTTTGTACCTAATTACTTACCAGTTTCAGATTTCTGAAAAGTGGAGAGTCTCCATATGGGGCACTTGCCAGTGCCATCAACTGCTGTTGTATCTGTGCCTGCTGAGCAGCCAGAATAGCCGCATCTGTATTACTATATAAGGAGAAAAGAACAGAGTTAATAATAAGTCCAAATAAATTCACAGTTTCATCAAATAGTGAAAATGTAATGTTGAAAATACATGGTTATCTACTTTGTTAAGGAAATGTTACTGCTGTAAAGAAACCCAGAATTATTTGCACACACTTATTGTTTTTTACTTTTTTTCATGCAGATTCATTTTCATGTATATGATGTTATATGTATTTGATGAAAAGTTAACCTCACATCAATTGGTCAAACAATTCATCACTGATTTCTCATTTCCACAAGCACAAGGCAAAATTTCAAAATTCCCTGTGAGAATGTCTTAAAATATAGCTCAATTACACATTTTACAGTGTTTGCCCTATAAACCCAATTTAGATTATTATCACTGTATATCATAAACAGCATGAGCCTATTTACATACTCAACAGTGTTTGCCCCATAAATCCATAGGCTCTGACAGCTGTAATTAACCACACCATATAACATTATTGTCATCTTTCCCCCTGAAACCTTTACCTAAATCAAATGAATGGAAGACACACACCCACATACAAACACACACAGGTGGACATACCTTCCCAGTGTGGCTCCAGCTGTGGACAGTGTTGTGGTAGCCCCCAGACCACCCGTCTGGCCAAAGCCTGAAAATATACACACAATCTTAGCAATGCTGCTAGGCAATTACAAACAGTTTTCTTACTTACTTTTGGAAAAACAACAAAATCACAGCTTAAGTTGTGCACTTCAATTTTTTCCTATTCAAATAAAAACTGTCGTTCTCAAATCAATGGTAATTTGATCGAAATCCTTTAATTTGCCACTGAGACTTAGACCACATTTACAACTGCGTATTTAGTCCGCAGATCAAATATGGCCTACCCACTTGAATGCTTGTGGCACAATCCCCCCCTCCTCCCGTCCCGCGTGAAATTAAGAGATTTGACAGCAAGCATGTAAGTGGGTCACCACATTTGATCCCCAGACTAGTAAGTCCACTGTTGTGAATGCAGTCTTAAATTCATCTCTTCTTTCTGTGCATTACCTCCAAGGTTCAGACCTGTGCCAAAGGCTGGCTTGTTATCAGTAGCATTAAAGTTAAAGCTGGTTCCCGTGGAAAGGCCTCCCAGCGCGTTCCCAAACCCAGTGGACGCGGCACCAAATCCAGCAGGCTTGTTGCCAAATAGTGTGCTTCCAGTGTTGGCATCTGAAACGTAGGAAAAATGCATTTAACTGGTCTCAACCAATTCAGTTTTATGACCTGATGGCTGCCTTCAAGTGCTGTTGCTTGAAGTAATCGTTCTAATATGATCATAGCCTAGGACTACATGGTTATTACTTAAGTGTATTTTCACTTAACTCCAATATAAGACACAAGAAGCTTTCTAAATACGAGTTAGATTCTCCATAGAGAGATCGTGGTTAAAAAGAAGACTGTAAAGTACCCGCTAATAATTATCACGCAAATGACAATGTGACATTTAAATAAAGTTCACGCATGGGAACAGGAAAGTATAAAAGTACAAGTTATATAGATAATTAAGGTGTACAATGAAAACTCTCACTGAATCTCAAAACAAAATGTTAAGGTCACAGCTAAACAATTCAATCTCCAAGCCTACATAACTATACTTACTGAAGCCAGTAGACTGCCCAAAGCCAAACCCAGTGCTTGTGGTAGGCTTGGCAAAGAGACTGCTGTTGGTTTGTCCAAAGCCAAATGTAGTCCCTGTGTTTGTGGTGGCTGTGCTGGTTGTACCAAAACCTAGAGGTTTCTGGCCAAAAAGACCCTAAAATTTAAATTAAATCAATATTTAAGATGTATATAAAGGAAATTTAATGCATTAACAGAATTTGACACCCCAGTGCCAAAGTTAGACTCTTTTTCTAGGTATCTTTTTGCATAAAATAAAATATTTCCCTATCATCTCTTCATAATGGGAAAACAAAACTAATTTGTTTGTACAATGACACATAGTGATACAAATACAGATGGGCATATATAAACAATGCAAACATTACATTTTATCAGGACCCAGGCAGAAATACCTTATCACTTACCCCAGTCTGTGTGCTGTTAAATCCTGTACTGGTGCCAAACCCGCCAGTGCCAAATCCAGTTGAAGCTGTGGATGTCTGGCCAAATATTCCACCGGCCTGAGAGGTGGTTGTGTTGCCAAACAGTGGCTAAAATGTTGGAAGAAAAAAAACTTTCTGTGAATATAGTGGATTATAGCAAGTATTTGGAGTCAGAATCTCAATGCTACAAGTTTGCAGGGGATAGATAGTTGCCCTTGGTTGTTTTCAGTTGTGCTTTAAAGACGTTTTTAAAAACATAACAGCCATTATTGTTTACAAAGTGTAATCATATTTTCTGATATTACCCTAAATATTTTAACCATTCAGCATAAAAAGAGAATCAGGTATCTTTCAAGCTGGTCAATTAAAGAAAATTTCTGACCAAAAACCCATACTTTATCTATTTCTACAATTATAAAGTTCTACTATATACATTTTAAGTCAAAATGTACAATTCAGCAGACAGGCTAGAGTTTTGTGTTTTCAGCTTACCTTGCTCTGTTGCTGTCCAAACAGAGATGTCCCACCTCCTGTACTGGTGGTTCCAAATCCTGTCCCAAACCCTGTACTAGCTGCAGTGGTAGTAGCAGTTCCAAATGTAGGTTTGGTCTGTCCAAACAGGCTGCTGCCACCTGTGTTCTGCTGTTGACCAAATAAACCGGTAGAAGTGTTGCCAAATGCTAGGAAATCAGAAAAAAATTCCCACTTTAATTGCTTATGCTACAATGTTAAAATTATGCTAAAGAACACTATTATAAACACATAATGAATTTGATAATTAACCATATCTGTATCTGACTCGAACTCAACATAATTAATCACAAAAATGTTCTGGGTTAACATCGAAATGTAACAAATTTGCAAATTGCTAATGAAAAAGATTTTGATTAAAAACTGAAAGCAATCAGCTTTGTCCCCCCCCCCCGCAAAAAAAAGATAAATAAAAATAAAAATAAAATAATAAATAACTTGAAACCAACTGATTAAAAGAAAATATACCACCAAAAGTCAAAGAACTGAATTAGAAATATACATACACTTACCACTTCCAAATCCTCCAGTTGTCTGTTGTTGCTGTTGTTGTTGCTGTTGAGGCTGACCAAACCCAAAAGCCGACGTCTGTCCAGTCTGTGTATTACCAAACAGACCCGTCCCCGCTGTCGCCCCCTGCTGGGGACCTTTACGATTGGCTGCGTAATCTTCCATGCGAAGTTCCTGCATTAAAGAAAATCAAGTTATTATTTTCTTTTGTTTATTCAGATGCCAAATTGTTTGAAACAGCTTCTTAATTAGTATTTGATATGGGAGATTTCTTTGAAATCTTATGTCTTAAACATAATTGATGTAGCATTATGTTTATTTATTGGGTTTCAGAATGGTTTATAACCATTCTGAAACCCAATAAATAAACATAATGCTTACATATATTACCCAAAACTATTTAAGCCTTAATAGACAAGAAATTGTTGATTGTCTTAAATGCAGCTTTCTCCTCACCTCTAAACTCTTACTCTCATACTCCTTCATGGCCGTGATGCACTGATGCTTGGTGTTGATAGTCTGTGAGACGCCATTTTTCAACATGTTATCACTGCCTGGCAGTGGGTTGAATTTCACTGTGGTGCCAGTTTGAGCAGTGCCAAATGCTGTGGCTGAAATAGAAACATATTATAAGTGATGTATCACAAGTCACCAATTATGCTTTGGATGACATTGTTAAAACCTACACTTGCATCAGTACAAGTGCGTGGTTTATATGTATTCATATTGAAAATCCTACTAACCCTTAAGGGTGCAGCAAAGTTTTTTTTTAAATCAATAATTCATCTATTTTTATAGATATCCATCACCAAGTGGGGCATGGAGAGGTAGTCTTAGATTAACATAAAGAATATATACATAACACCCCCTGCATTATAACCTCATTAAAACCTACCTGCACCTCCCCCTCACATTATAACCTAATTACAACCTACCTGCACCTCCCCCTCACATTATAACCTAATTAAAACCTACCTGCACCTCCCCCCACATTATAACCTAATCAAAACCTACCTGCACCTCCTCCAAAGAGACTGCTGCCCCCAGTGGTGCCTGTGGTACCAAATGGCAAGGTGCCTGTGGAGGTGTGGGTGGTGCTGCCAAACAGACTGGTGCCTGTGGAAGTGCCACCAAAACTGGTATCTAAAATGGACAGTTTGACCTTGCATACTGTGTTCATCACAAGTGTGTGGTTATGGCAGTACTTATCTAGTATTTGATACCAAATGGTTGAAACATATGCCAACAAACCAAGCCAAACTTTAGATATAGATAGAGCCCATATTTGTTTGAAGTTTACTCCATTTGCTCACAAACATTTACTANTAACCTAATTAAAACCTACCTGCGCCCCCTGCATTATAACCTAATAAGAACCTACCTGCACCTTCCCCTGCATTATAACCTAATCAAAACCTACCCTCCCCATGCATTATAACCTAATCAGAACCTACCTCCACCTCTTCCTTCATTATAACCTAATAAGAACCTACCTGCACCTTCCTCCATATTATAACCTAATCAGAACCTACCTGCAACTCCCCCCGCATTGTAACCTAATCAGAACCTACCTCCACCTCCCCTGCATTATGTAGTAAATAATGCACTGTCCACGAGCCCGATATCACAATAACAGGTCGAGCGTCAGCGAGGCATGCTATCGTGGATATCGGGTGAGGGGGTAACAGTGCATTATTTGTCATACATACAAAGGGAAATCGTGCGTATTCCCCACCCAAACCCCCTAACTTTGAATAGAACATGCTGATATCACCGCGCATGGGGTGATATCAAAGAATGGACTTTCCCCGCGTATACCGCCTAATTGCGGTCACCGTCCAATCATTTTCATTTACGTGAAAGGTTTGTGGTTGCGCGTGTCTTGACAGGGACATGGGTCAGTGGTTTTCTGCGAGTAGTTGGCTAATTTCCTGTCCATCTTTCGCACGTGGCAGTCACTCCGTCTCATTCATTATATCGATCCCTGCAATCCTTTTGTTTAGATATCAGCCCCGTGGTATGTATAGCCTAATAGAAACCTACCTGCACCTCCCCCCACATTATAACCTTCTAAGAACCTACCTGCACCTCCTCCAAAGAGACTGCTGCCCCCAGTGGTGCCTGTGGTACCAAATGGCAGGGTGCCTGTGGAGGTTTGGGTGGTGCTGCCAAACAGACTGGTGCCTGTGGAAGTGCCACCAAAACTGGTATCTAAAATGGAGAGTTTGACCTTGCATACTGTGTTCATCATAATTGTGTGGTTATGGCAGTACCTACCTCTTACAGGTAGCATTCATTAAGTACTTGATACAAAATGGTTGTAACATATGCCAACAAACCAAGCCAAACTTTAGATATAGATAGAGCCCATATTTCTTTGAAGTTTACTCCATTTGCTCACAAACATTTACTACCCACAAAATGAAAAAAAAATCAACACTTGGTTGCAATCACGTTAACTAGGCTAAGAAAAATTTCCTTAGATTAAAAAAAAAAAAAAAAACAGATTTTTTTCCTAAGTAAAACAAAAACTTTAGTCCAACATGTCATTTCTGAACAACAACAATTTATATAAGATGGTGAGACAAATTTCAAGAAGGTGACCAACTCACTTCCCACTCCAAACCCCGGTGTCTTGGCTCCAAAGGCTGAGCTGGTTGATGGTGTGGCAAATAACCCTCCTCCACCAGTGCTAGAACTGGCAAACAAACTGGTGGTCTGTGTTGTAGGTTGACTGCCAAATGCTGGGAAAACAAAAATGGCAGAATTGCAATTATAAGTCTTTTACAACCACCTTCACTCAAAAAATGTTTCTTTAACAACTGAGATTATGATCCGCAACAGCTACAGACTGCATTAATACATAAATACAATTAATACCATTATGAAGACACTAAATATATAAGTCATATTACAAATCATCTTTGTTTAAAGAAATTCGACATCAGTTATTATTTAAAATTTTTTTATTAAAATTCTTTTAAAAAAAAAAGGAAATACTTTCAGATGTTACAAGTAATCCAATTTCCTGAATCTAGCAGGTCCATCTGTAAATGCATCACTGATATCCCTACATGATCAAACAGGAAAAAGTATACCTACAAAACCCACCAGATCCTCCTGCAGAGGAGAAAGATGTCCCTCCAAACAGTCCCCCAGTTTGCTGTGTGTTGGCATTGCCCCCAAATAGCCCCCCTGAGGCTGGAGTCTGGCTTCCAAAGGCTGGTGTCCCAAATGTGGTAGCAGTACCTGTGGGTTTTGCACCAAAAGTACTAGTTGTACCTTTAGACAGCGCAATTTGATAGGAAAACATAATATCAGGGTTCATAAACTTGTGACATATTTGTACTTTGATATCTATAACTATATGTAAGTTAACGTGAAAAATAAATTTATTTATTTATTTATTTATTTTGTATCTGAATTATTAAGTTTCAAAATTTATTTTCAAATATGATATTTTACATTTAATTAATATCAACATGTTACATTATTCTAGTCAAAGTATACAAGCACTCACCTCCCCCAAATGGTGTTGATGCCCCAAATGATGCTGAAAATTCAAGTAAAAAGCAAAACATTATTCATCAGACTCTGGGTAAATAGACATAAATACATGGCACTATAAAGACAGAAACTTTGCTGTATAGTTTTACCAGTTTACTCTTATTAAAAAAATTAATACACATATAAATATATGCCTTATAAAAGTAAATGGGTCAAAGCAAATACATTTATTCTACTTTAAATACATGAAAATTAAAAAGTTACTCACTTCCAGTGCCACCACCAAAACCAAATGGTTTGTTTGCACCAAACATGGTTTATGGTGACAGATTTCACTTTTTTTGTACTAGCAGATTTTTCACGTCAGTTTCTTCCACTTTGTCTTTATTTCTACGTCCTGGAATAAATGACCTGTAAAAAAGTACACATTTAAATTTTATTACAGCTGTATATAGTACATATGTGGGGGAATTACTGCGAACATACAGAGAACAAAATAAAATTTTCATCTTCCACAAATAAAATGTCAATAAAATTTAGAATCTGGAAGTAGAACGTGTTTTTTTATCACTCGTTATCTATCCGATAGTAGTGCCTAAAGATTTGGCATCAAATAAGTGTCAAGTTAAATGCAATATGTTCCAATGCACCACAGTATCAAAAATGAAACAAAGATTAACTTAGATATTTTAAAAAATTGGCACACTACTGGTCACATGCGCGGGAAGTAGACAAAAGTGAAATAAGCCACTTTTACCATAAGAAACGGTCCTACAGAAAAGACACTTTACCTTATTGCTTTTCTATNAGTCTTTTACAACCACCTTCACTCAAAAAATGTTTCTTTAACAACTGAGATTATGATCCGCAACAGCTACAGACTGCATTAATACATAAATACAATTAATACCATTATGAAGACACTAAATATATAAGTCATATTACAAATCATCTTTGTTTAAAGAAATTCGACATCAGTTATTATTTAAAATTTTTTTATTAAAATTCTTTTAAAAAAAAAAGGAAATACTTTCAGATGTTACAAGTAATCCAATTTCCTGAATCTAGCAGGTCCATCTGTAAATGCATCACTGATATCCCTACATGATCAAACAGGAAAAAGTATACCTACAAAACCCACCAGATCCTCCTGCAGAGGAGAAAGATGTCCCTCCAAACAGTCCCCCAGTTTGCTGTGTGTTGGCATTGCCCCCAAATAGCCCCCCTGAGGCTGGAGTCTGGCTTCCAAAGGCTGGTGTCCCAAATGTGGTAGCAGTACCTGTGGGTTTTGCACCAAAAGTACTAGTTGTACCTTTAGACAGCGCAATTTGATAGGAAAACATAATATCAGGGTTCATAAACTTGTGACATATTTGTACTTTGATATCTATAACTATATGTAAGTTAACGTGAAAAATAAATTTATTTATTTATTTATTTATTTTGTATCTGAATTATTAAGTTTCAAAATTTATTTTCAAATATGATATTTTACATTTAATTAATATCAACATGTTACATTATTCTAGTCAAAGTATACAAGCACTCACCTCCCCCAAATGGTGTTGATGCCCCAAATGATGCTGAAAATTCAAGTAAAAAGCAAAACATTATTCATCAGACTCTGGGTAAATAGACATAAATACATGGCACTATAAAGACAGAAACTTTGCTGTATAGTTTTACCAGTTTACTCTTATTAAAAAAATTAATACACATATAAATATATGCCTTATAAAAGTAAATGGGTCAAAGCAAATACATTTATTCTACTTTAAATACATGAAAATTAAAAAGTTACTCACTTCCAGTGCCACCACCAAAACCAAATGGTTTGTTTGCACCAAACATGGTTTATGGTGACAGATTTCACTTTTTTTGTACTAGCAGATTTTTCACGTCAGTTTCTTCCACTTTGTCTTTATTTCTACGTCCTGGAATAAATGACCTGTAAAAAAGTACACATTTAAATTTTATTACAGCTGTATATAGTACATATGTGGGGGAATTACTGCGAACATACAGAGAACAAAATAAAATTTTCATCTTCCACAAATAAAATGTCAATAAAATTTAGAATCTGGAAGTAGAACGTGTTTTTTTATCACTCGTTATCTATCCGATAGTAGTGCCTAAAGATTTGGCATCAAATAAGTGTCAAGTTAAATGCAATATGTTCCAATGCACCACAGTATCAAAAATGAAACAAAGATTAACTTAGATATTTTAAAAAATTGGCACACTACTGGTCACATGCGCGGGAAGTAGACAAAAGTGAAATAAGCCACTTTTACCATAAGAAACGGTCCTACAGAAAAGACACTTTACCTTATTGCTTTTCTATGCTATGTTATCGCTTTTACATATTTTATATCCCTTATGATTCAGTCTCTGCACGGAATTCCCCTTTTTTCTCAGCTAGTTCAAACTAGATTCCCACTTATTCCAAAATGGCGACCTGATAAGTAGGTCACGTTAAGGCAAGACAAGTATGCGCTCGTGCATGCAACTTTTTTTATGAAGTTGGAGCATCTAGTTAGTGTCAAAAGTGAAACTAAACGTTCATATCCAAATATGTTATCCAAATATCAGAAAGAATACACAAAGGTGTTGTTATTTCTGTTGCTACTGAGGTCACACATGAATAAGACAGTGGCGCCATCTATACACCAGAGATGACAGTAAACAAGTTTTGCTTTTCTCTTTGTCCATCCGTTGTCTCTGGCATCAAGGGTTTTCATCTCTGTAGAGGAATAAATTCGCGTTTATGCTCTCAGTTTATCGTATTACATTATTGTTTTGACTTTTTTTATCACTGGGAGGTTCGTTTCCAGTTCAAACCAGTTAACCATCCCTGGGAAATTCCCGGCTTACACATTTCTAAAAATACAACTGTAGCTAGGCCTACTGTTTCTGTTACTGGGACATTGCTGGTACTTTTCCCCAGTCATTAATTTATTATTTTTTGTTACATGCAACACTTTATAATCTTTCTGGCACGAAAAGAAACCAATAATTTTCCCGTCTTCTAAAATTAACAGCCTATATATACCCAGGATTGTTTGAAAGGGGTCTGGATTTTGGGAATGACTAGCCGCGAATGGGGAGCCGCCCCCCCCCCCCCCCCCCCCTTTGGCTTGGGGTTCGGCGGACCCCCGAGAAATGTTGGTATTTTAGAGGGCGACCGGTTTAAAACAATGATTCAGCTGTCAAACAATTAATTTCAAGAGGGGACCATTAATTGGTGTGACTTTTTTCAGAAATCGAAATGGGGGAGGTCGACGTCAGGACCCTCCCTGACACACACGTAGGCCTACCCCCTAAAGCCGCACTGATGCCAATATTTTATTGTTATACATTTGGAGATACAGCAGCTTTATAATTAATCAAAATCAAAATTAAATAACTACGTTAACGACAACCTGTCCAGAGTACTTATGAAAGATAGAAACCATGCAGTGACAATTTTGATGCTGAAAATAAATAAAAAGATAAAATCGAGTGCTTTTGCTCAGAATTTCGTATTATTTGCATTTATAGCCCGCCTATTAGAGTGTGAAGGTAGGCCCTACACTTCATGGGTTTGAAAATGCTTATTTTTGCCATCCACATGCAGCTTCTCCTAAAACCTTACATGTGTACCTTGAAATGAAATCATGCACCCCCTTAAATATTTTTTCTTGAGCGTGTACCTAAAGTTGATAGGCCTACTTCCATCGGAGCTTAGGAAGATGGTCGTTATAATGACTGGCCAGCCATTTTAAACTAAATCAACTTTTTAAAATTTAATTAAGGGTCGAATCCAAGTGCCAAGAAGGATAAATAAATGATTAGTGAGTACGAGAAAATTGCTTATTTTCCCGTGGAAAATCCATTTCGGCAGGTTAATCCTATGGCGTCGCCCTTTAATTAAGGACTCCATGTTAGACAAAAACTCATAACTTACCGTACTGCCTTTACATGTACGAACCAATGTATACGTTTTGAATAATGCATAAATATTTAGTGTTCACTGACTTAATTCCATTCCAAATTAATGCTATTGTTCCGATGGCGTCATATCATACAAACACCATTTGACGGTTTCGGGGTGATCAATTTAACTATGACATTATTGAACAACGTACAAAAAATCCATGGCAGTTAATATCTTAAAATGCCCGCATGTGTTCAGGTTTTTTTATCGTTAATAAGACAAAATAATACCTTGGTTCAATGAAACATTAATTGTGATTGAGTGTTCATGACTTCATAACAAATTATTCAAGCTACAGTGACGGCATGGGTTATATAGTTCTAAGCCCGATACGATGGCGCCCAATACGATGACACCACTGTAGGCATTCTTTCCAGGGATATTTGAAGTAGTCTTAGAGAGCCAGAAAGCGATAAAAATAATAGAGCCGAAAATGTCAAACGCATAGTAGGATGTCGTTTCATCATGTTTTAATGTAAATGTATTACGCTCTTTCTATAATTTTAAAGAAAGTAATGTGGGTGGGGTGTGTGGTAACCAAGAGTAAGGTGGTAAACACGTTTTTCATACCACCTGGACACTATACCTTAGGTTCCTTATCATAAAGGTGTAAAAATATGCGACTCATTACACTGAGAACAGAATTGTAGGATTTTGTCTTACATATCCGTCACCGAACAGTATTTCCATTTGGGAGAGATTCTGGATTTATTTTTGGTCAATCAGTGCAAGTTCTTCCCGCTATCTGATCACAATTAAGTTTGTCTGATTTAATCACATTTCGGCTTCGTTTTTCTGTCTTTGAGGCCACGCCAGAAATCAGAAACCGTAAATAAAAGTGCCTAGCGCTAATGCATCAAATATCTTCCTATCCAGCCGTGCTATCGGCGTATCATGATTGTAATTTGAGTCGCTCTTGGACTTTGAAGTTAATAAAAACAGAGTCATCAGCAAATGTTAGGAGAACATTATTCAAACGTTCTTCACTGTTTATTAATTTAAAAAAAACATGCAAAAAGATTTCATATTGTGCATCAGTACGATTCGCACAACCTAATCCTTTACAATCACATCTAACGTGAGAAAAACGTCCCCACTATTAACAAAATATAATGATGTGTCGGTTAGAAAGCAAGCATGTAGTGGTCGTACCGATGTCAGCAGTGGTGGGCATGGTCACGGTCGGCAAGCGCTGTCGGTCCAACGTTGAAATGTCCCCGTGTTTGCGAAAATTTATTTTTCGCTTGCTTTCTGTGCTGTTTATAACCGGGCTTGATAAGTAAGTCAATTTACGGCCAAAATTTTGAAGATGTAGTTTTAAAGCTCTTTGATGGCTGATCGAGTGATTAATAAGGTTCGTCCCGTTGCATGTCGACTTTAATTTCAAATAAATTATTTTCAAATAAACTATTCTCAAGAGTCGTATAAGAAATTAGTAGAAGCGGTTTATATGTGTTACTAGGAAAACACGCTTGATATATATTATGCAACTTTAACTGTAGCAATTATTACGAGCTACATGTAAATCGTGCTTTAGCACTTAGATTCATGTTTTATAATTTATGGCAAAGAACAAAGAAATCCCATAGCATGTTGCTATGGAGATTTGGAAAAGATGAATATGAAGCTAAGAAACTAGGGGTTGGGCATGCATATGGACTGCAGCTGTTTCACTGTAAAAACAGTAACAGTTAAACACTAAAAAGTTATATTTGTGTAACTTAGTGTATGTGCGCGCACAAAAAAAAAAAAAAAAACAAACGTTCACAACAAAAATGGATATATCTAAAAAGCAAGAGCTTTATTCAAGAAATTTTAACTGGTATTAACT